AGACCTCTACGATATACCAAGTTCTTTCAAAAGTCCTCGAAGCCAAATAGCCTCCTTCACAGCCTCCGTAATCTCCATATACTCTGTCTCCGTCGTAGACAAAGCCACTGTAGACTGTAAGGTACATCTCCAACACACCGGTGCACGAGTCAAAGTAAACACATACCTCGTCATGGACCGACGCTTATCCAAATCCCCGACATAATCCGAATCAACATAACCAATACATAATTACCCACCTGTTGTGTCCCGCTCATAAACCAAACCAACATTGAGCGTACCTCGAATGTACCTCAAAATCCATCTCACGGCGTCCTAATGACCCACTCCTGGATCATGCATATATCTCGAAACCATGCTCACCGCCTGTGACAAGTCTGATCTCGTACATACCATCGCGTACATCAAGCTTCCAACCGTACTCGCATATGAAGTCTTCGACATCAACTCTCGATCTTCAACTGTTTTCGGTGAAAGATTAGCCGAAAGCTTCAAATGGGCTCCCAATGGTACACTAACTGGTTTCGTATCCATGCTAACATAAAATCGCTGTAGAACCTTCTTCAAATAAGCCACCTGTGTCAAACAAATTCCGCCCTTCTTCTTATCTCTGCCGATCTCCATCCTTAAAATATGCTTCGCTTCACCCAAATCTTTCATCTCAAACTCCTTTGAAAGCTATGCCTTTAGCTCATCTATAGCAGATCTGAAAAAAGAGGCAACTAACATGTCATCGACATAAAGTAACAAATAGATGTAAGCATATTCTTTCAACTTACGAAAATATACGTAAAGATCAAACTGGCTCCGAGTGTATGAATGACCAATCATAAAACCATCGAATCGTCTATACCACTGTCGAGGAGATTACGTCAAACCGTATAGCGATTTCTTCAATCTGTAAACTAATTTTTCCTTCCCTGCAGCTCGGAATCCCAATGGCTGAGTCATATATATTTCTTCATCAAGATCACCATGAAGAAATGCCTTCTTTACATCTAACTGATCTAACTCCAAATCATATTGTGCCACCAAAACTAGTAAAATTCGAATCGAAGAGTGCTTCACCACCAGAGAGAAAACCTCATTATAGTCAATATCTTCCTCCTGTGCATAGCCCTTAGCAACCAACCTAGCTTTGAACCTGAATGGAGTGCCTTCAATGCCCTCCTTCGTGTATACCCATTTACAACCAATCGCCTTCCGCCCCTTTGGAAGCTCAACCAGCTCCCATGTATCGTTCTTATGAAAAGACTATATCTCCTCCTGCATAGCTACCTTCCACGAATCAGTCTCCGAATTCTGCTCGGCCTCTCTGAATGTAGTAGGTACCATCTCATCGATACTCTCCACTGGAAGTGCATATGCAACTACTGTATCAGTGTACCGTGCTGGCATCCGTATGTCTCTCCTCTGTCTCCGAACCACAATAGAATCCTAAACCTGAGCCGTCGGTCCCTGATCCTGCACATCAGTACCCGTATCCTCCGTATCAGCGTCGTGCTCGTCTGGCGTCACCTCAGTCGGCACTCTAATAGATACTGCATCATCTGGACATTGTGGAACTGCATCGATCTTCACTACCTACGATATCTCCTCTGTCGGGTCGCTCTCCACTTAATGAGAGCTGGGAAGCTTTGAGATAGAAGCCTCATCGAATGTGACATCTCTACTCAACACAATCTTTTTATCAACTGGATCACATAGCTTGCATCCCTTGACATCACGCTTGAATCATACAAATATGACATTCCTAGCTTGAGGTTCTAATTTATCTGTTCTCACATGATAAAATACAGGGCACCCAAAATACCTTGAGCTAGTCATAATCGTGTGCTGGCTCTCCCGACCACATTTCCATAGGGGTCTTCCCCTCAATCGCAGATGAATGTAGCCTGTTAATGAGGTAGCTTATATATGTAAGTGTCTCAACCCAAAAGATCTTCTTCAAACCACTTTACGACAATAAGCATCAGACCTTCTCCAGTAACGACCGATTCAGCCTTTCTGCCACTCCATTCTGCTACGGTGTATGACTAACCGTGAAGTGTCTCTCTATGTCCTCGTCTCGACATAGCTGCAGAAAGAGGTCTGAAATATACTCACCATCATTGTTGTATCATAACGTCTTGATTTTTCTCCCAGTCTGCAGTTCCAATCTCTTCTTTCGCTCCACAAATAAATCTAGGACTTCACTCTTCTTCGTCATGGTGTACACCCAACATCGTCTAGAATAGTCATCAACGAACGTGACGAATCAATGTCGACCACCAAGTGATGCAGTCTTGGTGGGACCTCAAACATCTGTGTGCACGTAGTCTAGGATGCCCCTCGTTCTATGAATAGTAGTCCCGAACTTCACATTCGTCTTCTTGCCAAATATATAGTGCTCACAGAACTTCATTTTACCATTCTTGGCTCCCTTCAATAGCCCCTGCTTGCACAAAACCTGCGGTGACTTCTCTCTTGTGTGTCCTAACCTATAATGTCAAAGCCTGCTCATGTTCGCCTCTGAAATAGCCGAAACAACCTGACCAATTTCGGTGCTCCCCTTCAAATAGTATAAATTTTGACTGCGGACTTCCTTCATCACCACCAAAGATCCCTTAGTAACCTTCGCTATAGCGTCTTCAAAGGTCACATTGAATCTTTTTACCTCCAAAGCTCCAACTAAGATAAGATTCTTCAGCTGAGGAACAAATCTTACCTCTTTCAATTCACGGATTATTCCATCGTGCATCCGAATCCTCACGGTACCTATCCTACAAACACAAGATTGATCATTTTCCATGACAATAACACCCCCATCGAGCTTCTTAAAAGATACAAACCAATCTCACCTATGGGTCACATGATAAGTAGCACCGGAATCAAGCATCCAATTTAATGCATCCAAGTGGTTCACCTCTGGAGTAATCAGTAGAGAAAAGCTCGAATCATTGGAATCATCGCCTTTTGTAATATTCATCTCATTGGTCTTCGGGCCCTTGTTCTTGTCATTCTCCTTCTCCTTGAGCTTTGGACAGTCTCTCTTCCAATGTCTCTGCTCCTTATAGAATGCACGTTGGTTCTTTGCTAATTGGTGGTGGCTTCTTAACTTTGACCTCCCTCTATTACCACCTTTCAGATATGAGCTTCTACCTCTCGTCGACAAGGCCTTGTCTGAAGTATTAGCACGGAAAGTCTCATTGTCCTTCCTCCTCAAATCATAATTTGTCAATGCATTAATAACTTCACTATAGCTGATAGAAGATCTCTCGTTCAACAAAGTAAGCACAAAGGTGTCATATTCTTCATCCGGTAAGGAGCCTAATAAGATAATAGCCTTGTACTTATCCAAAATCTTCTCATCAACATTCACTAAGTCCAACAATAACTTCGTATAGTTATTCACATGAGCCGCAAGCGAGGTGCCTCTGGACATCTGAAATCTGAATAACCTACGTAGCAAGTGCAGCCGGTTCTCAACACTTTTCGTAAGGTACTTATTGTTGAGAATTTTCCACATCTTCATTGCAGACGTCACCCCAATCACATCATACTTCAGCTCCTGTTCCAAACAGGACCTGATCACCCCACAAGCGTTCCTATTCATCTTTTCCCATATCGTCTCTTCATATTTTGGTGGTCTCTCGTGGACCATGATGGTCTCCTCCAAGTTCTGAGCATTGAGTACATCCTGTACGTCTCTCATCCACAAACCAAAGTTAATTTTACCGTCATACTTAACCACACTAATTTTGGTGTTCTGAAAACCTACTTGAACTGTACTCGCCATCGTCTTGCTGCTTTCATCATCTTCTCCCATTGCAAACTAACTCCAAGTTGTAGAGAAAGAATCAAACTTTGATAGAAATTAAGAATTACCTAACTGAACCCTAGATCGGATTCCAAATAGATCTTCTGTCCACACGAGGAAAGCGAAATCTCCAACGGTAACTCGTAATGCTATCTCCACCGAAGCCTAGAACTCCAAGAACCAAACTTCACACAATAATCTTCCTCCACCTAATTCCAAAACCTTAGATCTGAAATCTGGGCTCTGATACCACTTGTTGCGTGCAGCGAAAATTTCGGCAGCACCTCGGCACAACAACACAAGAGTCAGGTCGCAATAGGAATTCCTGTTTCACCAAGGAAACAAGAGCCAAAAGCAAAATGTCTCAACAAAATGAGATATCAGCTCTTAATCTCATCAGTTCTAGGACTGACCCGTCGAGGGAACCTAAATAAGCTATTACAAATCACACAACCAACGAGACAACCAATTTTACATGGTTCAGTAGATTACCTACGTCCACGGGGCAAGGAGGGGAAAGATCTATTACTAGAGAGAAAGAGAATACAAATAGGGTTTACAAACACACAAAGTCTCACAAATAAAACCCTCAAACTCTCACAAATAAAACCATCAAACAATCTCTCAATTCCTCTCTCAAAAGAACAGCCGTCTCTGTAACTTTTCTTCTTACACGCCGCCCAAACCAACGCGGTTTTCCCCTCTGCCTTACACGCAGCCGAAATCTGCGTTCTCACCCTCTACACACGTGCACTTGCACACTTTTCCGCCCCTCTTTTGCACGCCGCCCTAGAAACTGATAAAGAGATATATATATAGCGCACTAACGCAGAGTCAGGTGGGCCAAGTGCAAAGAAAAAAAACTCCTCACGCGGTTTCCTTGGATACTTTGGTGTGGCCCATGTAGCCCCCACATAACAAACTTTATGCCTGAAAATTTTAAAGCATACATCTTTTGCATGTATCAATCAAGGTACATTTCTTCAAACTTATCGCATAATCTATATACTCCAGGCCCTTAATTCTCAAAGACAAATCATGTCATTTTCTGACAAATTCTGAGAAATGTATTAAATTACATGAATAACTAGAAATTTCCATGTCCTTTTTCATTATCTCCTGTCACTACTAACTTTCATGGGTTTATATCATGAAACAATAGACGTCCCAGAACTCTTAAGCACTTTCTTGTTAATTCCAGGTTTAGAGCAGGAAATGGAAGAGATGGGCTATCATCAGGCCATGAAGCCACGAGGGTGTAGGATTATCGCCATGGAAAAGCTTATCGTAAAAAAGTTGCAGAATTTGGGGGCTCGGTCTGTGTCTCTTAAATTTATTTTAGGTTTAACCTATAATAACATCACCTTGTTATTAGTAACCTTTCTGCAAATGTATCCAATATGTAGCCAATGTATCAATTTCAGATTGTTCTGAGAAGCTTAGATTTCATTAGTTGGCAGAGATCCTGTCATTCCACAACATGAACTGGATTTTGAACTTTTGAGCACCAGATTCGGCGAATCAGTTTAAGCCGCTGAAGCTCCTAAAGTAAAGGGATTTTGCAATTTTGTTATTAGGCACTGCTGTATCTGGGAAAACCTCTTTATGGTAAACTACCAGGTTTCCCAATTACAGAATCATTTCGAGACGTATCTTGCTGCAATTAAGCTAAGGATAAAAGAATATATTTTTAATATAACATTCCTTTCACCGGGGAAGAGGAAAAGAACAGGGATTTTTTCATGTCCTTATCGTTTGATATCAAATCGTGTCACTGTAACTTGTACTTTAAACTGGAAAAAAGGAGCAGCAGTTCACAACAAAATGCATATATGCAAACGGAATCTACTTTTAGGAACTGAACTCCCTCAGATGTCACTGAACTTGAATAAACATGAATAGATTGATTGAGGTATTATTCTGCAGTATTGCTTTTTTGTTTCAGTTTACCTTTTGATGCAGACAACAAGATGCATATAAAACACCTGGCTACAAAACTGACAGTGTACTTGGATATAATTAGATTTTATTCACTTGACATAAACAAACTACTAGAGACATCTGCAATATAAGTCTTTAAAAGATTTCATAATATGTACACTTCATGAAGTCTGGTAGTCCACCAGCTTGCTGTTTCACCAGTAGAACATACTAATTACTGGAAACTTCACTGTCAGCTAACAACAAACCCATTGACTTGAAAATACACTTTTAGCCTACATAGGACATATATATACTTTCAAAGATAAATAAATCTACACAGGATTACTTGCCACATTTCAATCCCATCATCATCCAACCGAGGCCATCACCATGCCCAGAAATTCCAGTCCCAAGTGACTGCAACAGCCTCAATAACTAAATCAAAGATCACAATCAACAGCATTTCCATACCAAATCAAAAACAGATATATGGAAATGCCAATCATTCATGAGAAAGACAAACTTCATATATAAATTACCAGAAATTATCCTTCTCTCAAGGTTGTTCCTCATCCGGTCGATATCTCATGAACCTCCGTCTCCTCCTCGGTATCGGTCTATCATCATCAAGGTACCCATCGTCCTCATCACGTCGGGAACCTAAAAGATTCTCACCCCAAAGATTCCGGTGATAGTGAGACCCTCCTGATGATCTCCTGTGAGTCCTCCAACTCCTTGAAGAGCCCCTTGGTTCATCATGTGAACCTGCTGAGCTGTCAAACACCGGGAGTAGAAATAAGGTATTCAAAAGTTGCCCACTGCCTTCGCCTTGTATATTATCTCCCGTGTCGATAACATAATCTCCGAGCACAAAGGCTCCGGGCATTTCTGATCTAAGCGCGCTGAGAACATCACCATATTCGCTTTGGTGTTCAAGTTGGCGCCAAGCTCGCTGCCGTGATGGGTCCACGTCAGCAGGCCTTGTCAAGGGATGAACCCTACGTGCGTGTCTTCGTAGCTCTCTGTAGGTTCCAAAGAAAGAGCATGATTCACGAGAACAGCTCCTTGGCTTCAGGTCCAGATACTGTCTTACTTCGTTTATGATCATAAAACCTAAAACGTTTCCTCGGCAAAGTGGGCATTTCAAGCAGTTTGATTCGTTATTTACAGTTCTCTGATCTCCCTGGATATTACTATTCCCTTCCAGTGCTCCAAGAAAATTAACTGTTGAGATCACGTCACGACTTTCTGCTAAGTTTCTTCTTGTTCTGCTGTTGGAATCATTATGGAAGAAAGAACTGTGTTGAGAAAGATTGTTGTCAACATTGTTCGCTTTCAGTTTCTTGAATCTGTCAAGGCAGTTGGAGTGTCTATAACTTGTGTCGCAAATATAAGACCTGCAGCCTTTTTGATGGGAGCTACAGATGATAAGGACTGCATTGTGTGGATGGTCCATGCAAATAGGGCAGGAAATAGCATCCCATTCCTTATGCAGAGAATGAATATCTTTAACTTCTGAAGTACTTCCTTTCATATCAGTCATCTTGGATGGACTGGATTTTGTTTCAAGCGTTAAGACTAGCTAGACTAAAATAAGATATGGCTATAAACTATGGTTACTACCAGTTATCAAGAAAAGTACCATATAGCATCAATACATGTAATTGTAAAAGAGGAAAACTTGCTATGACAGCATCTGGCAAAGCATTGTCAGATACTTTTCACTAGAGTGACAAGTTTATTCACAAGCATAATTTTCTTAATGGGAAGAAATTCATCCAAAGAAGAATGTTAGCAGATAACAAATTACAGGAAACAGAAACTACGAATCCTTTATCGAAATGTAGTAGAAAAAACATTTATTTACAAAAGTACTAGCTATTTTTGGATCCCTGCAGTTCTCTCCTTCGTAATAGTGATACCAATTTTTTTTGAGAAGGGTACAACATGTTGAGTATATTTTAAATAGATAGTTTACTATGATCGGAACACTCACATTTATGATTAGAAGCTAGAGCCATTGATCAAGATTTATCCTTATGTTTGGAGGTTTCAGCCCAGTGATTAACCAAAAGCCAAAATGTACTCTTAAAGGTTAGCAGGCACATGACCTAAGATCGGATCATTTACCATAGAATTCCATGCACAATTATAACACTAATGGCCCACATAGGGAATTTGCAGGTCACGTATCCCAGTAGTATGCCCAAGCATATGCTTTGTTATAGAGTTTATACCATATTTTGCCCCTCAAAAACCTTAGGAACGATTAATCTCGAGTTTGTCAAATCTATTATAAACCACCACATAGTGACAAGACAACTCTTGGCACGTAATTGATGCTGGAGTACTGATTTTTGTGGTAGTGATGAGAATCCATCAACTATATTTTCCAATTTCCAATTATGGATTTGTTAGTTTAACTCGAACCTAACAAGAATCAACCAAAACTGGAACCGACAAAATGATAGGCGTCTAAACTTTCCTGGCTCCAAATGAAGTTAACCATCCCAAAATTGAGCTTACAAGTTCAACATAGTCAAACAACACTACGGGCCATGAATTCCATATAAATAGGAAGAAATGAATTGTTCGAAACGTTATAACACAAAATAATCAAATATACTAAGGAATCTGATCATTAAAGAGCAAACAAATTAGAATTAACAAGACTAACCAGGTTTGGTTTGTGCTGCCTGTGGCTTCTCAGTGAACTAGCTTGCACTTCAGATCTGATCTGTTCTGACAATAGAATTTATACAAAAGGCAGAATCCTCAAGCTACGACAAATTCCCCAAATCATGCAACAAATAATCCAATTTCATAGAAAGCTTCAAGAAAATACAGGCTTTGATTCAACCATAATAATTTAATTACGCTCCACAGTTCACCAACAAGTCTTAATCCCTGCACTAAATTGTGTAACACGTACATAGGTCATGTAAGACTTATCCCAACTGTCATAAATCAGGGGAATAAATTAAAAAAAAACACAACGAGCATAATATTTTTCGATAAAATTATATCTTAGGTTAAAATTTTAACTTTGAGACTATTCCGCGCATAAAAAATTAACTTTTCCCCCTAAATCCAAGTATCAAAAACCCAATTTCTTCGAAACCTGACCCTAATCCTAACTCTTCCCCTCAACAAAATTGACCCATAAGATTCCATTGAGACACCCCAATTACATCGATGATCCATCTAAAAACCCTAAAGATCAATAAAGCCTAACAAACCAAGAAAATAAAACAATAAAAACTGTAGAAAATTACGCGAGAATTGAGTAAAGGTCCGATTTTTACAGTAAATTCGGAGAAGGCCTTTGATCTCTGATTCTCTTTTGGGGAAAAGGAGAGATCTTTGGGTGGGTTTCTCTATTGGTTATCAGTTTTCTTGTTGGTTTGGTGTTGTGTCCTTAATATAGTTTGGGATTAATATAGTTTGGGATATTGAGAGCCCTTGAAATTGGGGTTAATAATTAATGAGAGAGGTTATTGGGTTTATTTTTAGGCTTATATCGATATTAGCCCCCAACAATTCCAAATTTCGACATAACCCTCTCAAATATTTGAAATTGATCTCAGGCCCCAACCTAGATCTTCAATATTCAGTACTAGCCCTCTAAATCTTTGAAATTGATCTTAGGCCTCCCAAATCCTATTAGTATGTTAAAATAAGCCCCTAGTTAAAATCTAGTTAAAATGGCGGAACTATTCAATTTAATTAACTAAATTTTTTGGTGATTCGTCAATATAGTCCTCTCACACAAACCTAAACTTAAGGGTGTCCATTTGGGCCCAAGGCCCGGTGTCCAGACCAGGCCCGGCCCGAGCACGGGAAAAGTCTGGATTCCCGGGTTGAACCGAGCTTCGGGCTCGGGACATTGGGACCCGGCCAGGCCCGAGCTCGGGAAAAGCTCGGATTCCCAGGTCGAACCGGGCTTCGGGCTCGGGTCCGGGTCTAGCCCGGTCCTAGGCCCAGACCCGGCGAAAGATTTTGAACCGGGCCGGGTTGGCCCGACCCGTGGTCTGTGACCATTGGACCTGACAACCTGGGTCGGCTCGGACCAGTTCAAACGGTCACAAATGTGACCATTGGACTAGGCTGGTCGGGTCGTCCCGGTCCGATCCGGTCTGACCAAAATAGTGTATAACTGCTATTTTTGGTCTTTTGACCAAAATACCACAAAAAATGACTAAAATTTGAGGGTACTTAGTCGTTTGGGTAAGGAGCTGGCTTTATAAATAAAGAAAGATTTTATTTATTTTTATCATCCAAAACTCATCTACTTCTTTCTAATACTTTCTTATACTCTCAAATACTCCCTTATTCTCTCTTTCACTCTCTAATTCTCCAATCAAATGACTTCCTCCTTCGATTATGAAGGGCAAGTTCCAACTCTCGATATTGAAATGAATCTTACTCCTACTACGCCTACCGCTACTCCTCCTACCGATGTTGATCCCAAATCCAGTGGCGATGATCCCACACTCAGATATCTTAAAAGGCCGAGATCTGATGTATGTAATTTTTTTCGAGAAGATAGAAGTCATTAAGGATCAACACGGTAAATTACTCACCCACAAGGCTAAATGTGCATTGTGTGACCATATTTTCCAAGCTCATCATAAAAGCGACACCAACCACCTCAAACGCTATTTAGAAAAACACAATAGAGCTCAAGCGGTAACGTCTCAAGGAGACATCCGTCAGTTTCTACTCTCCCAATCATCAACCTCCAATAGTCTTGATTCTTGAAACTATGATGCAATTAAAGTCAGAAAATGTGTCATCAAGTTTATTATTCTTAAAAACATTCCTTTTAAATTAGTAGAAGATAATAAATTAGAGAATATGATTAGAGATGGTTTTTATCCCTCATTTGAAAATTTTTCTAGCCAATCTTGTCAACATAATATTTTAAAATATTATCACAAGGAACAAACAAAAATAATTTCTTCTTTTCAAAATTTAAATTATAAAATTTCTCTAACTTCTGATATTTGGACATTTAGAACACAAACTGGTTATTTATGTATCACAACATACTGGATTGATGATAGTTGGCAAATGTTTAAAAGAGTTATTTCTTTTATTACATTGAAGATTCACACCTGGTATTAATATTTCAAATTAAATAATAGAAGAACTTTTAAAGTTAGAAATTAAAAAAAATATTTTCTCTTTCACTAGATGATGCAATTAATAACAATGTAGTTGTAGATTATATCAAATCATCTTTGCTATTGCCACGTTATAGTGATATTTTTCATATTAGATGCATGTGTCATATTTTAAATTTAATTATCCAAAGTGTATTTAATGAATTAAATCCATGATATAAAAGGTTAGGGTTATGGCTTATGTTCAGACTTAAAAGATGGAAATAATTATGTAAAAGAATTTTTTTAAAACCCAGGTTAATTCTAAAAGATGTTGACCATATGTGTAATTTACATATACAATGTTAAATGTAGCAATAGAATATAAAAAAATTATAAATAATTTTATTACTTTCTATGCTTCTAATTCTAGCTCTGGTAGTATGTATGGAATAACTGATGAAGAATGGGCAGTTATATATAGCGTAAAAGAGATGTTATAAGTTTTTTATGATGCTACTATGTTGTTATCTGGGTGTTATTATCCAATTATTATTTAAGCTGCTTTACAGGTTTTAAATATTTAAAAAAATTATTAGTTATCATATGGATAATTATTTTGGAAATATGATCTTTCAAATGGAAAATAAATTTAATAAGTATTTTAGGTCTATTCTTATTATTTTTGGTTTGGGAGTTCTTATCGATCCACATTTGAAGGATATTGACCTTCAAAATTTGTTAAATTCTTTGTATGAAAACATGGTAATAGACACTGATAATGGTCAAACTATTACTGCTCTTACTCATCATAACACTATTAAATATTATTTTCAAAGATTATATGAGTATGCAGGTAGATATGGTGTAAGTACACATCAACCTACAGGTTCTGCTTTTATGAGTTTAAGCTGGGGCAAAGATAAAAGTTTTGGTAAGTAATTAATGATAGCAAGGCTAACTGGTAGCCGTGGATCTGGATCTGGATCATCATCAAGGAAAGTTTCTAAAATTGAATAATATTTATCCGCACATTTAGTTGATGCTCAAAATAATAATTTTTGATATTTTACAATGGTCGAGATTATATAGAACAGTTTCATATCCTATACTTTCCATCATGGCTCGTGACTTACTAGCAGTGCAGGTTTCTACAGTAACTTCGGAATCCGCCTTCAGCAACTCAGGACGTTTAATCGACGACCATAGAATATCGCTGGATCCGTCTACCATACAGACGATAATGTGTCTACAAAATTGGTGGAGGTCTGAGAAGAGGGAAAACCCCGAAAATAACCATACAGAACATCGCTAGATCCGTCTACCATACAGACGATAATATGAAACGACCATTTCTTTTAAAATAACTATAGGTACGTGCGATGTATATAAGCCGCGGAGAAATTTTTGATATAAACCATTACAAAATTATCTGTTTGGATTTATTTGTATATTAATAGAATAGAAGAAAATTTCATTTAAAACCCATTCTAATTTTTATTTTAAAAACTGATCCACTCCCATTTTAATTACAAAAAGGGACTCATTTCGTGGTCACGTCATCATCGTGGCCATGAAATGGATCGATTTTTTTTAATTTCGCCTCTAAATAGTCGGGGTTGCCAACCCTGACTATTTAGCTATTATATAAGCTAAATTAGTCAGGGTTTGAAACCCCGACTAATTTAACACTCTCTCTAATTGGTTGGAGTTGGGAACCCCGACAAATTTGAAAGCCTTTTTCGAAATGGTCGAGGTTTCGAACCTCAGCCATTTAGCAGATAATTTTGAAGCAGCGGACGAGTCAAGATGGAAATGGCTAAGGGACCAAATAGTCGGGGTAGGCAACCCCGACTTATTTTCCGTGCCCTATGGGTCCCGACCCCTATATAAACCTTTTAATTGGTTTCTCCCCCCCCCCCCCTTTGTTCCCAGCCGTCCCAAAAAACTCACATTCCTCAAACTTTCTTCCACAAACCCTTATTTCTCACAGATCTTGGATTTCAACCTTAATTTTCAACCGAATTTCATCGTGAAACTTTTGAGTGGTAATTTCTCTACATTCTCTCCTCTGTTAACATGTAGAAATCTAGGGTTTTTTTCTCAAAAACAAATTTCTAGGTTTTGAATTCTATTTGTAGTGGTTTATTTAGAAAATGTATTCTTGTTGCAGTTGAAATTAAACATTTAGGGTATAAAATACTCAATTTTAGGGTTTAGAATTTGGGGGTCAATTTTAGGGTTTAGGATTTGGGTGTTTAGGGTTGTAAATTGGGGTTTAGTGTTATAATTTGGGGTTTAGGTTGTAATTGATAATATTTTTAAAATTTTTAGTATTTAAATGATATAATTTTATTTTTCATAGGTTGAACAATATGATTTTTATTACTTGCTCTTATGATGAAAAAATCAATTATGAAATGAATAATATGCCAACATACGTCGGAGGGGTGACAATGTCGTTAATGATCTCGGAATCATATAGTTATCTTGACTTGGTTAATGAATTACATTGAGTTACGGCGATTGACCTACAAGAGTACCGACTAAAAATAATATGCAATTGGCCCATAATTTTTGATAGAACGTCCGCAGTTAAGATTTCAAACGATCATCATATGAGTATTATATTTAATTTGAGCAAATCACAACCAACGGTAGAATTGTTTATTGAAAAGTTGCCACATAGTTCATGCCAAATATTCAACACTCCAAGAGAATTCTCACGCATGTTAGATTTGGGAGTTGAGTCTGATGGTTTTATTTCTTCTTTGAGTGAAATGAAGCGGACTCAATTTTAATATCACAGTGGTGCACCTTCATTCGGTGGAACGTTAAATGTCATGAACAATAAAGTCTTTTATGAAAATATAAGGCCGTTAAGAGGGGCAACAGCTGAAGAGGATGAAAGAAGCAACACCTATGAAGGTGATGATGAAGATAGTGCACCAATTGAGAGCATGCAATTTATGAGTGAAGACGATGAAGAGAATCCGGATTGGCCTGATTAAGCTTATATTAATAATGAATATGTTGAGTACAAAAAACCACCCCCCGACGAGTTTGAAAATGATGGGTGGGTTCGTTCTTCCACAGTACAAGATATGCGCATTGGCGAAAGTTCATTTCATGGAGAAGATGATGAGGTCCCTTTCAAAGTTGGTGAATTATTCGAGACTAAAGACCAATACGTTGATGCTATTCATAATTACTCAATCAAAAAGTTAATCAAATTCAATCAAATTAAAAGCAATCGCACAAGTTATGATGCAATCTGTTTTATGAATACACAAAGGCAAGGTCGGGCCGAGGGGAA